CAAAAAATCGTCAAGGCCGGGAGATCGGGTAAACTCGATCGGATTGGCCAATTTTACGACGAACATCAGATGTGCGACCAAGACCGGGCCTTAGGTCGGGCGTTAGCAGGGTCGAGTATTGCAAGACCGGGCCTGAAGGCCGGGCGGTCGAGCGATGGAGATCAGTGTGTGCTCGAAGACGAAAGGGATAAGTTGGACAAAAAAATTTTTAATCAGCAAAAGCGCCCGGTACAAAATTCGGGACCGGGCTCCCGATCAGTATCCCTTTACAAAAAGACAGAAGCTTATCCCTACTTCTTCGCTTCCCGAGCTCCAGCAGCTTCCTGAGCTCCGGCAGCTTCCTTCTCGCTCGCGGCGGCCGCAGAAGACCCGCCTTGCTCAGCTGTCTTCTCTTTGGGGCTGAAGGGAGAAGGACCGGGATCAGCCAAGTCCGGGGGCAGCGTCGAGAGAACCAGCTGAAGGTCCTCCCCCTTGAGAGCCTGCTCCATCCGGGTACGGGCCCGCTCGAGCATCTTCCGTTGCCCGGCCTTGAAGGCCCACCGCCCGAACGAGAGGATCAGATCCTCCCCGACCTTGGTCCCCCGGGCTGCTGTGAGGAAGGCTGAGCCCGAGTCGTTGTCTTTGAAGACCGCTTGCGCCAACTCGCTCGGGTTACCAAGCTGAGCCTTCAGCTGTTTGGCCTCCTCGATTGCCCGATGGGCAACCTTCTCCGCCAGGGCCCGGTCCTCGTCGCTCTTTTTTAAGGCCTTTTGAGCCTTCTCGAGCTCGGCTTGGAGCTCTTTAACCTCCAGAAGGCGACGGGCGGCCGTCTTCTTGTGGTGGTCGGCCTCCTCGGCCAGCATGGCCCGACCCTGTAATAGTTGGGCCGCTCGGGAGATCTGCAAAGGCAAAAACAGTCGGGGTTAGCCCGGTCGAAGGCACTTGCACAAAAGATGGATAGCTAAAGAAGGCTTACCTCGGCCAGATCATAGCCGATCCTCTCGGCTACCTGTGTGGGGGTCATCTTCCCCAGATCTTCTTTGGCCCGCCCCGCATTGCCAATATGGACGAAGCGTCCCTTTCTCGCCCGACCGAAGGGCTCGGGCTGCGTTGTTCACGGCGGCGTTTCATGCCGCCCACCTCCCTCACGCCCTGCTCGGGCACCTTCTCTTTTCCCCGGGCAACTTCCACCCGGGTGATCAGGACGTCGGAGGGCTCGACAATAAAGCCCTCGCCCGTCGTCACGGTCGAGGTACTTAGTGGTCGGGCCGAGGGAATCTCCTTTTCCCCGGCGGGCTTCGCCTTCGCCTTTTTCTTGCCACCAAGGGAGATCTTGGCGGGCGAGGGAAGGGGGGCATCTTCGTCACCGAACTCTGCCATAGCTGCAAACAAAGAAATCAAGTTAGTGTGATCGAGGCATAAAGTTAAGTCGGGAGGGTTAGCTCGAGTTAAAACCTTTCTTCGTTCGCCTCGACGGTTTGGCGACCGTCACGCCCATCGGCACGGGCAGATATTTCTCCTGTAGCTCGTATGTAGGGGGCGGGAGATTAGCCGCCTCGAGACTCTCGGCCGTTCGGAAGATTGTATACTCGTGCAGCTCGCTCGAGATCCGACTGACCGTCTCCCTGAGCGCTTGCGTCTCGTCTGGCACCACTTGTTTCTGAAAGTGGGTGCTCCAAGCGCGGTCAACCGGGAGAATCCAGGGGTCGTATTTGAGGGAGAAAATCCTATTCTTCCACCCCTTGTTGTTCCCGGGCAGGCCTCTGATTGTGCACATGTCGGCTCGGGACTGTAGCATCAAGAACCCGCCCCCGTAGCTGCCCGGGAGAATTTTGACTTGGTAGATGAAGTTGAACAGCTCCATCGTGCAGGCGGCTTCATGCCGAGCGCATATCTGCGGAAAGCAGGCGATAATCCGGTGCGCATTGGGGCAAATCTGGGCCGGGACGACCCGGTAGTAGGCCAAGAAGGCGTTCAGGAGGGGGGTGAAGGGAATGGCGATCGGGGCCATCAGGGAGTCGTAATGCATCCCGATCCATTTGCCCCGATGCCGATCGATGACATTCCCTAACTTCCGGCTCGTATCAAATTCCACCCGACCTGCGAGCCTTTCAGCAATCCTAGCCGCTTCGCCTGTGGTCAATCGGCTCATTTGTTGTTCGACATTCTCGCTGTTCAAGAATTCGAACTCCGTTGCGGCTGGTGCGGCCGGCCCGGCCGTGTTTTCCTCGACTTGCTCGGGGGTGTTTTCCCGGTCGCTTCCTCGAGCAACGGCTCCCGGGTGGTCCCCAACCACCCGGGTTGGCGTGTCCTTAGCACCTTCGATCGATGAACCCCGTCTGCCTGACGAGGGTCCTTCTTCTTCCTCTTCTCCGGAGCTCCCCGATCCGCTTGAGCTGGAACTCGATGACCCGGAGGAGCTCGACGCGTCGTTTTGTTCAGAAGCCCGCTCGGGGCCTGGCGCCGGTCGGTGAATGGCCTCGGGAGAGTAGGACATGATGTCCACTTCCTCGTCGCTGAGGTACTCGACCTCCTCGTCGTAGTCCGCGATCGAGGCATTTTGGCTGTCAGAGTCCGTCATTTCGATCTACCTAAAGGTCGGTCGGGGTTAGTAAAGGACTTGAGGCGTCCGGGACAGTTAGTTGACCTAACGATTCTACTTATAAATGAAAGCGTAAAGTAAAAGAAGGGTTGAGAACTTACCGAATGGAAGAACTTTGTGAATGAAAGCTTGAAGTCTTTTAGCTCGACTGCCTCGCTAAGGTGCTCTGCTCGGGGCTCTCTGAGGGTACCGACTGAAGCAAAAGAGTGAGGAAAGTTCAAATGAGGGCCTCAAGGGCCTATTTATAGGAGAGCATTTAGGCGGGAAAGTCGTCCACTTGCGCGACACGACCAGCGCTGATTCCGAGGCAACGGTTGCAGTCGCAGAGGCCGGCAGTGGCCGACACGTGGCGGAGAAGGGAATGACAACTGGCCGGTCGGTTTAGCGGCCGACGGTTGGGCTTCTTCATCCCGGCCCATTTTTTCCCGGACGATCAAAAAGGCCCGGGCTGGGGGGCTCTTGGTAGGGAATATCCCGACCGACATAGCTTCACCACGACCGAGAAGCCTTTGTCTTTTTCTCTTTGTCTTTGCAGGTAACAGGTCGGGCTCCTTGAGAAGAACCCGGTCGCGGGCCGACCGGGAGTTGCCCGAGCGACGGTGTCCACCGCCGAGCGGTAGCCCTTTGGCGAGAGAGCTAACGAAAGACACGTGGCGATTCTCTACGACGACAGACAGGGCACCCGGAAGGACGACACGTGGTGGCTACGTGGAGGACATGCCGAACGGCTGGAATCCTGTCCCCGGCATAGCGGCTATAAATACCCACAGTAGCTACAGTGTGGGGGACTTTTGGACGATCGATAGGTTGTTGTTAGAGAATCCCGACCGCAGTCAGTCGGTACTCAGAGCAACCAAGTAAATTGTACTTAGGGCCTTTACCGTGATCAATAAAGACATTTACTTGCTTTATTTGGTCTCGGCTTATTTCATATTGCTTACGTATAATTAGCAGTATCAAAGGGCATAACATTATTGACTCTTATTGTTATTGTAGATTTAATTACCACATTTTAACTTAGATTGCTTGTACAACTACAGTACTACCTGAAGTGCTCTTTAAGTTTTCATTAATTTCCAATATAATGTGCAGGTTACATTATATTACTGAAACCTAGGTGGGGGCTCCAGATCCAAAGTTTATGCTACATAAGAGGAGTCAAGCCCATGTGCACAAAAATCAATAGTTATTGCGTGGGTGGTTGTGTGGGCAAATTATGCTATGTATGGCACACAGATGTAAAAATGATGTCGTTTTGACTAAAAACGTGCGTCTCACTTAAAAAAAAAAAAAATTTGATTCTCGGCAACAGCATTATGTTGTACATAATTTGAACTACATATCCAGAATCAATGAATTAAAATTCAGAATCACTGAACTAAAAATTCAAAATCACTGAACTAAAAATTCAGAATCACTGAACTAAAAATCCAGAATGAATAACTAAAAATACAGAATGAATGAACTAAATATCCATAATGAATGAACTAAATATCCAGCATGAATGAAAAAAAAAAAACAGTTTCGATTTTCGTCTAAATATCCAGAATGAATGAACTAAAAATCCAGAATGAATGAACAACATAATGCTGTTGAGGTGAATCGAAACTGATTTTTTTTAAGTGGGACGCGCGTTTTTAGTCAAAACGACGTCATTTTTGCAACCGTGTGCACTATGTATGGTGCACACGGTTGCACAACATAACGATTGGGTTGTGTCGACCACGGTTAAAAAACGACGTAGTTTTGTGTAATTTTTTTCCTGCAAAACATACATTTTTATAACTTATAATTTACATTATTTTAAAGTAACATAATGTATATTATTCTAACTCATAAAATACATTATATCGCCCTAGAAGTTTAATTAATCTTACACATAATGTACATAATTCTAATATATAAATTAAGTATATTAATTTAACACATAATGCATATTATTCTAACTCATAAAATACATTATCTCGCATTAGAAGTTTCATTAATCTTACACATAATGTACATTATTCTAATATATAAATTAAGTATATTAATCTAACACATAAAGCATATTATTCTAACTCATAAAATTTAACAACATCATTTTGGATCATGGTCCACACACAACCGTGTAATATAATTTGCCCACAGAAATGGACAGTGGACTGCTCTTGTGGTTTATATGAATCTATGATACAAAGTAAACAAAAACTTTGACTCCTAATAACTCAAGAATATGTAAACTAGCTACTTCACTAGTCAAAATTCATCATCTTCTCGCTTTATATTCTGTCAAAAACACTATTCAACATATACATATGAAAAACTAACAAACAAACAAACCAACCTTCAAACACTACCCATGTATAAATATACATACATAAACCACATCTATCTCATCATCAAAGTTTTCAAGAACATATAATCAAGATATTCTGCAATGGGCAATGACAAGATGATGAAGAAGCAGAGCAAGTTGAGGCAATATATCGGCGCCCCGAAGAGGTTTCTAAGCAAGGCCAGAGACTTTTATGTTGATAGCATGGTTAGCCTGGATGGAAAGCTTGCCAACAATAACATGATGCTCCCAATATCTCCACAGATCTCCCAAACATTGCCCGAAAACTTGGGATCGAACAACAAAACTGCGACCAACGACAACCTGGTAGCGCTGTGTAGATCATCGACGACGAGGAGGAGAAGCAGTAAACATGGGGACAATAACAATAAGCCTTCTTCTAATGGGAAGAAGGTCCGGTTTGAAGGAATGAACAAAAGTTACAGTAGTGTTGGACTGGGAAGGATTGACACCATTGATGAGGACAAGCCTTATGAATGTGATGAAGATCATAGTATCATGTTTGCAAGAAGCAGAAGCCATGCTGTTACCCGCAGAAATGCTGCTTAATTATATATCTATATATATTATTATCTTAAGTAGAGATCAATTCACTACACACAATTTTTTGTATTTTTTTTAATGTATGTTGTGCCAAATGCCGCCGGTTTTGTTGTTTCTTGGTTCTAATATACGTGATTATAATTGTAAATTTAATTTGTTGCCATTCACATTTTTATTTGTACCAAAAGCACACATATTTCAGTAATTATTAGTATTGCCTTATACTCCTATAGAAATCGAAATAGTGTTGATAGAGTAAATTAACTCAGGCAATAAGGCCTGACCGAGGCTTGAACTCGTAATAATCTTTCAAATGGAAGTCCAACCCGGGTACCATTAGACCACATAGTCTTGGTAAATCAAGTAATCTAATTAAACATAAGGATCAAAGAATGTAAACGACAAGTGGAGTGTTTGGGAAAGACAATGAGATCACAAACTTTGTATTAATTGCTCAAAGATTATAAGACTAATGTTTTAATAGGACAAGATCCATATCATGTCTAAACAAGACATGTAAACAACTTTTTATACAAGTTGCATTCAAGCAACGCCATGCTTGATCTGGGCGTCCTTCGAGCATAGAAGTAGTTAAAATGGCCAAGACCTCCCCAACTTGAGTGGACCCACCTTGGCCGACCTTGAGGTCGATGGCCGTGGCTTCTATGTCCTAGGTCATGTCCACACCGTGCCCTTTGGGATGGCCCAATGTATCAATCATCAGCCCCCACTCCCTAAGTTGCAAGGTTTTGATGGCGAAAGGGGGTAGTCAAGTATGAGTTTCGTTGATCCACTAAGGTTATCATAACATGAACAATGGAGTGAATGAGCTCTAGCTCAACTCTTTGCCTAATCTTCACATTTACTCTCGTTGATCACAAGAGAAATGAGCTTGACATTATAATGGTATAGGTCAACTTCTCATACTACCACTTGAGTATGTGAGGAAATGATTCGGGCCAACCTTGACCTATTTTCGGGTGAGGCGAGCCAACCTTATCATCACATTTCTTATCAAATGTGCACGGGAGTGAACCAGGCCTCTACCTTTGAATGTGGGATGGGTAGACCTTGACATCACACCTCTTCTTAAGTAAGTGGTGGGGGGGGGGGGGGGGTGAGATGAGGTTGACTCTAGAATCAAACCTTTCGACGAGTATTGAGCTTGACTGCATGCCATGAAACGAGCCCCCGATTGACTGATCTTTGGCTATCAATTCCTCGCATGGGATGTAAGTTGGCCAACTTGAGCTTGTGTTTCACTTTATGCATGAATGAAGCAACCCTAATGTTAGACCCCTTTTTTGGGATATGCTAGGGCTAAGATTAGCTTATTGGTGATCGACTTGCTTGAATATCGGGTGTGCCGACTCTAGCTCCTGCTTTGATCATGTGTTTGAACTTTTAGACTTCTTTCCTCTTCATTTAATCTTAAGTTCCCCCTTGTAGGTGAGATAGTGTATCCAACTTGCTTCCTCAACATGAATAAAATGGTTTCGGGGTCTTACGTTCGAACTCATTGTCCTTAGTTTGAACTCAATACCATGTTCCACCGACTATTAACTTCCCATTAGCGAAGGTCGACCCAAAGTTTTCTTGGACTATCCAATTCGTTCGGCTAACTCATCGCTGCCAACAATCCCACCTTGGCATGTCTTTGTACCATTGTGATGCATAACCTCGGGTAGGCACAAACTTGACTATGTGTCGCCCTAGGTTTTTTGCTAAGCTTGGCATCGACGAATGATGAGCTCGATAAGGCTTGGCTTTTTTACACCTTAGTGTCATGATTATTGGTTTATGTAGTCGGCCTTGGAGCTTGTGATTTTGATGAAATGTGCAGGCTTCGATATGGACTTGGCGGGGTGTGCATCTTTTAATCATCTCAAGCTTGGCTAGAAGTGAACCTTGGTAAGCCCAGGCCCATGAGCTCATGTTTAGCCAAACATATTCGTGATCAAACTCAACTAAGTACTCTTGTACTCATACTCAAATAGGTCTTGTATATATAATGGTATTCTCTTAGAGCTTGCTATGCCATCGGCAACATATGAACTTCGCGACATAAGGTTTTGATTCACCTCGAGCCTGACAAACATCTAATTTGGAAAGGCATGGTCATTAAGTATCCTTGGACTCAAAGTTGGTGGGGAACGAGCTCGGTAGGGCAGAAAAAACATTCAACACCTTATCGTTTAGCTTCAGGAAAACACACAACCCCTGTTATCCAAGCTCAGCCACAAGCAAACTTGACATGTGTTAACACTATGGATTCCTCACCTTGCCCATGCTCGGCAAGTAGGACCTTCCAAGTAAAATGGTCTCGACTAAGGTGTTGACCTTGGCCAAAAGAATTCATCTGTTTGACATTAGACAATGTAGGACCTTATATTACTCATAGGAAAGACTTTTATGTTCGACATTAGGCAAGGTTGGACCTCATAGTGCCCCTAAGAATATCTTAATTTTTTCTTTGCTAAAGCATTTAGTTTAGTCAAGAACAAGCTCTTGCATTTTGTGTTAGACGATATCAAACCTCGTAATACCCCCAGGAAAACCTTAGGTTTTTCTTGGCTAAGGCATTGACTACAACCAAGAACAAAGTTGGACCTCGTAATACCCCTCGATAAAACTTAGCTTTTTCTTGGATAAGGCATTGACCTTAGTAAAAAACAAGCTCTTCCATTCGACATTAGGCGAGGTTGGACCTCGTAATGCCCATAGGTAAAGTTTAGCTTTTTCTTGGCTAAGGCATTGACCTTTCCAAGTAACAAGCTTTTTCGTTCGACATTAAGTGATGTTGGAACTTGTAACGCCCTTAGGGAAACTTTTCGGTTCGGCATTAAGCTAGGTTAAACCTCTTAATGCCCTAGGAAAAGGTTAGATATTTCATGGCTAAGGTATTGACCTTAGACAAGAACAAGTTCTTCTATACGTCGTTAGGTGAGGTTGGGCCCCGTAGTGTCCCTAGAGAAAACTTTTCTATTTAGCATTAGATGAGGTCAGACTTTTTAATGCCCCTAGGAAAATCTTAGTTGTTTCTTGACTAAAGCAATGACCTCGCCTAAGAACAAGCTCTTTTGTTCGGTGTTAGGTGAGGTCTGACCTTGTAACACCTCTAGGGAAAACTTTTCGGTTCGGCATTAGGCAAGGTCAAACCTCGTAATGCCCCTAGTAAAATATTAGTTTTTTCTTGGCAAAGGCATTGACATCGACCAAGAATAAGCTCTTCCATTCTGCTTAGGCGAGGTCAGACTTCATAAAACTCCTAGGGAAAAATTTTCATTTCGGTATTAGGAAAGGTCCGAACTTGTAATGCCCTTAGGAAAAACTTAGCTTTTTCTTGGCTAAGGCATTAACCTTGGCTAAAAAATTGTTATTTCATTCAATGTTAGGTGAAGTTCGACCTCATAACGCCCCTAAGGATAACTTTTTCATCTTGAATTAGTCGAGGTTAGACCATGTAGTGCTAGGAATAGTTGAAGTCAGGCCAAGGAGGTCGACACTTGGGGTCGGACTCCCCATTGTCCTTCAAAAATAGTAAAAAGAATTTGGGATATAGAGATTATTTTTGCAAACTAACTCTTAAAAAAACATGTGCTTGCCCACCTAGAGCTAGATAGTAGTCTCCCACCTAGAGTATGACCTCGAGATTGACTAACCACAATCATTGACTAACCACAATCCAACCTCGGGGGTGAGATTGGGCACTCTGAGTGAGTTGAGCCCCACTTCAGTGTGAGTTTGGCAATTCATGAGCTTAGCTTCCTATTACGAGGCAGGTCTTTTAATGTGAGCTTGGCAATTCATAACCTTAGCTTCCTGGAGCAAGGCAAGCCCTTTGACGTGAACCTAGTAATTCATGAACTTGAATTGATTTCTCAAAGTGAGAAGAGCCATTCGGTGCAAGTTCAAAATATCATGACCTCAATTTCTTAGAGGTAAGCCATTTAGTGCGAGCGAGGTAAGTCCTTCAATGTGAGCTCAATAATCATGAGCTCTGGCACAAGCAAGTTGGGTTTAACCATAAGCCTTGTGTTTAACCATAAGCCAAAGCAAGGTGAGCATATTGCCACAAAGAACACGATCTTGGCCATAAACTAAGGTGAGTTTGTTCTTTTAACATTCGGTGTTGGAAGATGTCGGAGCTGTCAACACCCTTACAGGGCGTTTGGTTGGAGGGATTTTAAATTCCCTTCCCACTTAATTCCCACATAATTCCAAAGGCCATTAAATTCCGTAGTTTGGTTGGAGGGAATTGCAATTCCATGGAATTGCAATTCCCCCATTTTCATGGAATTAAAATCCCATATCCCCCCCTGGTATTTTAATTCCTGGGAAAAAAAGATAGTGATGAGTCAAAATTACCCCTTCCTTTTTTAACCTAAAATTAATGTCTAACAACAATAATGGACATTTTTGACTTTATACTACTTATTCCCTTTCAATTCCCATGTATACCAAACAATGGAATTGAAATTCCCAGTAATTCTATTCCTATCAACCAAACACTGGAATTTAAATTCCCACTTTATTCCCATTAATTCAACTCCCATGGAATTACAATTCCTTTCCCACATAATTCCCCCCTCCAACCAAACGCCCTGTTAGGGAATTGAGGTCAGTATATGGGATAAGACCCTCGTTTACCCCCCCACCCCTCCTGAAAATTGTAAAATTCAAGCCTTTATTTTTACAAATGAAATTCTACATTGAAAGCATATATTTTGTGGTCAGACCACCACACAAAATACTTCTACTAGAAGATTTCTTTATTCGCCCCTAGTCCCGAGCCCAACCGTTCTTGTATTGGCACTCTGGTGCCTAATTAGTCCAAGGCGAATTTGGCTTGAGGCTGCATGGTTATCCTCCCAATCCCGTTGGCCTCAACTTGCATCATTTCTATCGTGATGAGCCGACCCCCGCGACGAGTTCACCCCAAGCTCGTTTTGAGTTTCCTCCACCATGCGAGGTCGATTCATTGGTATCACACTCGACCCACCAAT